AAGAAAGAAAGAATCTAACCTGTGTAGTGATAATAAGCAGCCAGCCGGTGAGCAGTGGCTGGTTCGAGTTGAGGGTGGAGCTGAACGGCCGCGGCTCGGTCGGTGCTGGACGGAGGCGACGGCGGGTCACCGGTGCTGGGTGAAGGTGCGTGGACTCGAGCTGGTCGGTGAGGTGCGGCTGAGGTCGTGAGCTGCGGACGGGAACTGTGATGGCGCGGCTGTGAGCTGGTGGGGTCGGCTCGGAGGCGGTGGTGCTCGCCGGCGTGAGGGTCTCCGGAGAACGGCGGATCACCGGAGATCGGAAGGCTGCCGGAAAAATGAAGGAGATGGTGATGTATTGCTCTTGAATGGATAATGTGGAAATGGATGGTGGAAATTGAGCTAAGTGTGTTATTTATACACACAATAGGGGACTAGGGTTTTGACTTGTTGGGCTTAGACTTGGGCTTCTTAAAAACGGCTCGGTTTTAATCGCTACTTGGGCTCGATTATTAAAAATACTATTAATGCTCGTTAAATTAAATATCACCTGGACTGAACATATAACGGCTCGATCTAAATGACATAGATGTGCAGGGGTTTGTATAATAAAAATAAAATAAAAAATGCGATATTGTTCTTTGATTGACATAGAAGCTACTATTATTGTTTTTATTCCCTCTTGCCCGGCTTGACAATGTTATTGGTTTGAAATTATATTCTTGTTCTTTCTCTGTGATGTTTGTTACGAGAAGTTGTAGATAATGGAATTGGAGCAAAGAGCATTTAGTGGTTTGGTGTTTTGGTGTTTCAGCTGCAGCAAGTACTAGTTACGGAGTTAGCATTTATCTTAAGCCCTTATGATTCACTACTAACTCTTGCAAGTTTTATCTGGCTAGCCCGCAACGTGGCTTTTTGTAGGCCGTCCTGCCAAGCGGCTTTAGCGGCCCGTATACTAGTGCGACCCACCAACATGATTGGAATCTACATATCTTTATCTGCAATTAAAAGATCTTATCTTACAAATAATCGCAAGTGTAAATTTCATTTTTTGTGAAATCACTGCCCATAAAGTATTTGTTCTAGTGCCTCTTAAATTCATTGAGCTTGTTATATTTTTGAAGTTGTGATATAGAATGGTTTCTAAATTGACTCAAGATGGTTTAGTGTAATGTTGTTCACGCTTCCGTTTATAATTTGTGTTTGAACTTTTACATATGAGTAGCTGGGCTGAGCAACTTTCTTTGCTTTGATGATTTTGCAGGTGTGTTTGGTAATTTACTACAAGAATAATCATTTTTAGTAGAGATAATTTTTGTTGCTATATGTTCGAATGTCGTCACAAAAAATACTGTCGCTATATGTTCGAATGTCGTTAACAATAATCATTTTATAGTCATGACATTAATGTCGTCACTAAAATTAGTGGCACTAATAATGATTATTCGATGTGTATCTTTTTGTCTTGATTCCTCTACAAAATTACTTATAGTCATTTCCTAAGATATGGCTCCTCTACTTATTCTTTATACTTATTTCTCCATATAAAAGTTAACGTCGTTGCTTATAAGTTATGACGACGCCTTGTTTTGTGTATTTATAATTATTTATGTTATATTGATTAGTTCTTATTTCTTCTCTTCTGTATATATATTGATTTTTTCTATTGATTGATTTGAAACAGGAAGATGATTATTCCAAAAAGCAAATGAAAGCAAACGGCTTATCGTCCATGTTTATTTTGAATTGTCCCAAGCTAGTTTGTATAGGTTTTTATTTTTCTTAAACGAATATGTGATTTCTCTTTTAACTATATTAATAGAATCTGAATATTTAGTAGTTTCGTGCATATGTTTTTTTATATTATTGTCATGTGGTATTATTGTTTCGTCATTAAAATATCAGTGTTTAAGTGTTATTGAGACACTATTTATTACGTTGCTAAATTAAGGACACAAATTATTAAAATTGTATCTAATTTAAATACTAATTACCAACGCATGAATTTTGTGTTACAAAAATTCATAACAGAGACGCATTTAAGAGAGCATTAAAAAAAAAAAAAATACAACGTATATGTTTTTGTGCGTCAAAANATAGATACATATATTAAATAATGTATTAAAAAATATATTAAATATAGATTTTTACAAAATATATATTAAATATATTTTCTTCCTTACAATTTTTTACAAATTATTCCTCTTTTTATAATTGTACAAATATAGATTAGATATGTTAATAAAATGTTAAATATTAACAATGCTTAATTTCGTTTAGTAACTTATAATTCTCTTTTTTTAAGCATGTGCAATACCATTTAGATAGTCAACCAACATTCTCAATGCACCCACTTGTAATCAATTATTTGTAAAAGGGCATGCTTGTTTATAAATTATTTCATTTTCAACCTGATTTATACTCAAAATCTAACTCAATCTTAACCCAACTCCATTATATTTAATATTATTCATATAATTAAATAATACAAACCAATCATTCTTACACATCACATCAACTTTAATTCACTATTTATCCACTCACATAATTTTAACTACCTATCATTTCTAATCATTTCCAATCATTTATCTTTTACTTTTACATCAAATCAATTTTAATCATTTTATTTTAAATATTATTTTAATACATTCTTAAAATCCCACTAACAATTAACCATACTACGTTTTTTAAAATTAACTCTAGTTAACTAAAATAACTCATTTTGAATGAAATATTTCATAAACAAGCACGCCCTTTATTTTTATAAAAAGCATAAATCTATTCAATATGTATATATGTAGCCATTTTTCAAAATAAATAATGGTATTAATACTACATTTACCTCTACGCATTCATAGAGAAAATGAACAGAGCTAACATTCACATCCCCATCCTTGAGTTCTTTGATCTTGGTATTAATCATTATTGACTTCTTGACTTCAACTTTGTTTCTTTCAGTTTACTTGTTGACATCCTTCGTATAAGAAATATATAATCGAAAAAAGTTAAATCTTGTACACTGAAAAAAGTACTAATAATTAGTTAGAACCTACTACGATTATCTTGGATTTTTGCAACAATATGGGAGCCGATTAAAAAGATGACATTCTCTGATATTGTGATTAGAACCTCATCTAATAAAAGAAACTGTTAAACAAATATGTTCATATATATAGATAATAATAAAGGAAATATTAGTGTTATATACTTGCTCATGACTTAGCACGACAGAGTTGCATTATCAGTACAAAATGTGCTCCTTCAGTTTAATAATGCATCTCGATTGCTTTTAGATGGTCGACATATTTCTCCCGGACAATACATGTCTTAATGTTTCCCCTTAAAAGAAAAAGATAAATGGCTAATTAGTGTATTTAATGGAATATTAGTATGAAAAATATATTAACTTTGAAATAAATTAAAAGCTCTTACTAGAAATCCATATGGACAACTCAATCATTTGAGTAGGACCTCATTTCACGTTTCTTATTCGAATCAGTTGGATCTCAACAACCAAGCTAACAATATCTTCCAGAACGATAGAGGTGATATATATAACAACCAGAAACAAAGTTCAAATACAAGAGGCAATATCCTACTGAAAAGAAAAACTGAGAGGTACTACACAAAGCACCTAGAACCTCCACTACTACCAAACAAGAAAACAACCAAACAAAAGAAGAAATGCATCTCTCCACTGCCATAAGGCCTAGCTAGAATACACAACTTCCAAACAGAAAAAGGAAACTAAAAAACTGCAAGCAAAACACTAATAAAACTAGCCTAACAAGAAGGGGGAACATCACAAGTTCCTGCAGCCAGAGAAGCTTCCAACCAATCTTTATGAGCAGCAGAAATCACAATGTGTTCAGGCATGAATGAGTTCTTGATGATCCAGAGATTCCGAGATTTTCATAACCACCAGAGCAAGTAGGTGGACACTTTAATCCTAGCTTTAACAACATCATTCTGTTTAATGGAGCTAACCTGCTTCCACCATGCTTTGAAGGAGAAAGTACAGTGTTGTAAGCCATCCCAGTGAACGGGTGCTGATTCCCTAATCCTATTTGCTCTTGGGCATGAAACAAGTATGTGTTCAATTGTTTCTGGTTGATCACCACAGATTGAGCAGATGGCACAAATATCAATCCCTCTCTATTTAGTATTATAAAATATTAAAATAATTAGTTTCAAAGCATATGAATTATAAACAAACGTGATAAAACTTAAATGTTAAACATAATTAATCAAAATAGTTTGGACGTACCAAACAATATTGATTCATCAATATTATCAACATCATACAAAGTGACAAAGCTCCTAAAGTCAAATCGATACATGGAAAAATCACCTTTGTACTTGTACTGCTCAATCTTGCCATGAATAATGATTCTCCAAGTGGCAATAGTTGATTTTTATAGCCCGATACAGAGAACCCTCCTCGAAATCGTGGATGAAAGTTGAAATATTAACTGAAATACAACTAATTCGACCACCCTGCAAATGGTAACATTGTGTAAGCACACTAATACAGTTTTGTGCAATATAATTTGATTATAAATATAAAATATACAAACACATACCTCTTGATCATGGATTATGATTTCAAAAACATTCTTGTAAGTTTGAACTTCAGATGTTCTTTGAAATATTTGAACAATTCGGAGCTTGATAATTAGAATGTTTGTCCTTTTTTATCTCTATGATGAGCCCCATGGTTTGGTCAGCTGGACTTGATAGGTAAAACTTATTTTTATTTATTTCTATGATGTGTGATGTAATATCCCTTTCAGTTATCTCAGTTATTATGAGTTATTGTTCCAAGAAATAAGTGATTTCGAGTCCAAGATAGTAAGTTATCGGACCGAAATTAAGAATTTTCAAGGAACAAGTCACACGAGTCGTGTGGAGAGGCACACGAGTCGTGTGGGATGGAGACGTGATGAAAGTTAGCCTCGGGATTTTGACACGAGTCGTGTGATGAGCCACACGAGTCGTGTGAATCTACACGAGTCGTGTGATATAGTACACGAGTCGTGTGAGAAGATGAATGATTAAGAGCAAAAGTGTCGGCAAGCCACACGAGTCGTGTGGCAAGGCACACGAGTCGTGTGAGGCCACACGAGTCGTGTGACTCCCCCACACGAGTCGTGTTGCCGACAGTCCAATTGGATTATTGAGAATTCGATTGTGACTTTAACCAAAGGCCATTTTTGATGTTTAAATATGCTTTGGATGGATGAATAAGTAAATCATAAGATATTTTAAAGATTATTTAAGTTTATAAGTTAAATTTTATATTATGATCATTTAATCACTCTATTTGGATGTTTCTCCAATTTGTGCCTATAAATAGAGGCTTAAACCTTAGAGTTTTTACACCAAAATAATTACTAAAGTCATATGAGTTTGTGAGAGAGAGTGAGAAGGAGTAATCTTTGGAGAAGTAAGGACATTAGAGTGAAGAATCAAGTTTTTAACTTCACCTAGAAGGAGGTAATTTACTTATCTTAATGTTTCATATTTGAGTTCATGCTTTTATGATAAGTTTACATGTTTATGAGTATGTATATCATGATGTAGAAGT